CCCAATATCGCAGGCACGAGAAATAAAGAAAAAGGAGAAGAGGAAGAAACGCGCGCAGGCAATAAGAGGGAAGGCACTCGCCGCATCGAGACCAGGCCGGGGAATAATTAATATACCATGGACGCATAACGAACGACTCTGCGATGCAGTCTGTTTGTTTTCGGACGGCTCTTCCTTGGCCTCAAGCTTGTCGGTCGTATCTCTCTCGCTCAGGCTCCTCGACCTCCCGCTGCTTCTCCCCCCTTTTCCCTTTTTATTTTAAACGCGCGCGCACACACACACGCGAGCTCGCGCACGGGATTGTCCCCCGAGACTATCCTCTTCGAGCCGTTCCTTCGGAGGCGGCCACCGTTCTTTATTTCAATTCCAACCGCCTTACAATATATTGATTTTAAAATGTCCAAATTCGAGAAAAGGAAATATATAATGCCTCTAATATTGCGAACGATGTGCGGTGTGCGTTGGAAGGAAACTAGCCGTTTTATTGATGAGAATAAACGACGGCTCGATCTTGTTAATTGCGAGTACCTTGACTGGACATATATATACACCTGTTTCTATGTTTGATTCAATACTCTCGTAGCTTCAATTGTGACGTGGACGAAAGGTCTCGTGGGATAATCGCCCTTGACGGGAGCGTCGCGAGATCGAGATACCTTTTCGAGTTCACGTGTGTAATTTCCCAGCCACGCGACACGTAACAGTCGCGACGAAACGCGATGAAATCGTCAAAAGCATGCGCGTATCTCTGTCCTTTGTCTCTTGTGCGTTATTCGGGCACGGGGAGTTGCTTCGAAAGAGGGCGAGCGAGCGAGCGAGCGAGCGAGCGAGCGAGCGAGCGAACAAAAGCGAGAGAGAGAGAGAGAGAGAGCTACGACGCACACGGAGAGAGCGCGCCGCATGCCTCTCTCCATATATCCTCTCCACTTTAATCTTTCTTTTGTGACTCGGCTGTTTTAGCGTTTTTTATTCCCCGATGAGAGCTGGACCCCTACAGGCCGCGAACAGAGAGTGGAGCGCGCTCGCTCACTCACAAACGCTGAGAGAAAGAGAGAAGGACAGAGAGAACACGAGCCGGAGAGAGAGAAAGAGATAACGAAAGAGTAAAAGAAAGAGAGAGGGGGGAGGGGGGGATCGAAACAGAGGCATGCAAGACACATCGCTGCGGGCTTATTAGCAAGAAACCGGTGGGGAAAGACGAGGTCGCGAAGGGGAACCGGCAAGATGGTAGACGACGAGGGGTTGGGGGCAAGCCAAGCCGGGGCATGCTCGCGGATAAAGATGGCCTCGCAATATCATAATAAACGTACTTCGTCTCTCTCTCTCTCTCTCTCTCTTCCTTCATCATAATAAACGTACCTCGTCTCTCTCTCGCTCGCTCGCTCTTTCCTCGTCCTCTTCTCCTTTTTTCTCGTTCACTTCGTACGGTCCTCATTAACGCTGCTGCGTCGGGGACGGGGCCCACCCTCGTAGCGCGCGCTGCGATGTATATTTGCGTAGCAAGTCGAGAGCACGCTTCGATACGTAGCGAGACTTTTCGGAGAGTTGGCGCGTAGTCTCGGAGCCGCCGGAGATCCCGATTGGACGTCGCACTGCTCACGAATGATTTATGCGCGCCGTGCGCACGCGCGCGCGACATTGGAGGACTTTTGAAATCGAACGGTCCGCTGAGTCTCCGGCCTGTCTGGAGCCTCTCGATCCTCTCGGCTTCTGGAAGCGACAAAAAGGCTAAATTACTTCCTTATGTGGGCTCTTGGTCGCTCACCGAGAATAAAGCTCGCCGGTGGACGTCGCGGAGGTCCTCTGAATTCTCGGCGTAATTGCACGAATTTCAGGCTAAGGTTACCGACGGCAAAATATTTGGTTACATTGGCTCTTCTCGACGTTCTTTCCCGGTGAAATATACTCGGGCTTTTGTAAGAAATCGAAATTAAGTTGAGATAAATAATGTTAATGATATTCTAAATTGGGAGAAGAGTAAAATGTGTCTTCGAGATGCTTCGTGCAGTCGTCAATTTTTTACTTCTGTTCTTTGTCGATATATGATGGAATGTGTATTTTATATTAGTGTTTTTTAAAATATTATTAAATATAAATTAAATATTACCATAAATATATATCTTTAAGTAAATAAATATAATATTCCTAAATATTTCGCAGAGACTTGAAAACTCACGTCGATTTCTTCCTTCTTGCAGACTCCTCTAATGTGAATAAGAAGATACGGGAAGTAATAAGATGCTACTGCAATCAACCGATCTGCGTACCTCAGGGATACATGTGTCTCGGTAAGGGTTGCTTCACGGAATTGCCGCCGAACGCGAACACGCTTCTGAGAATCGAGCAGAGCGCTACTCGCAACGGTTGTCTGAACGAGGGCTTTAAGAATCGTCAATGTCCCGCGGGATATCTCTGCTGCAACCACGATCTCTGCAACCATGTGGACACCCCTGCAATGAAAGACAGGCTCAACAAGACCCTACAAGGTTCGAGTGTTCTTCTTCAAACACAATGAAACTTTAATTATTAAAGAAATTATTAAAGAAATAAAAATAATGAAACTTTAATTATTAAAGAAATTTAGATTAAATAAAGAATAAAGATAATAAATAAAGATAAAGAAAATAAAGAATAAAGAAAGATATTAAAGAAAGAAAAAACAATGAAACTTTAATTATTAAAGAAATTATTAAAGAAATAAAAATAATATTAAAACAAATGTATACAATAATTGTTTGGAATGATTTAATCATTGAAAATATTACGTAATTAATTTTTTTCAATTTCGAATATTTGATAAAGAAATATTTATTCGAGAATTATTTAATATCTGAATAATCTGATAACCTGATAACCTGAATATATATCTTCCATCTATACAGAGGAAAGGTTTCAATGGAGAAAAGGTTTCAATGGATTTAGTATATACATGTTTCATTTGGGTATTTAATACAAACATTTAATACAAACAACATAGTGTAATATCGAATATCATTTTGTTTGAGTGAAAATGTTGTTTTACTAAAATAAACCACGCTGTTGAATATAGTATTATTTAGAGAAAATATAGAGAAGAAAATAGAGAGAAAATATGTTATTTTCAGTAAAAAAGACGAAATTTCACTATATATTAAATATTGTTCCGCTGAAACAAAGAAGTTCTTTGATATTTCTCTAACACAATTTCTCTAATACAAAAGAAACATATTATTGGACTTAAAGACATTGTTTGAAAAACCGAACAATCCTATTTGTCGAATCAAATATTCGTTTGCTCTATTCCAAAAGGCAGATTTGTCTCAACCAAAAAAAATATTAAATCCAAGGAATCCTTTCCTCTGTGTACAAGTAATTTTTACTCTTAATTTCAAAAAGCGATATATTGATTATGTAACCTATTCAGCTGCAGATAGGATATAATTCAGCGGCAAATATTAAATAATTGATTAATATATGGACAAATAACCATAACTCCTCTTTTCAGTGCTGGCCCCCGATCAACGAGCATACTTGAGTCCCATGCAGCCGAGCGGCCATGGAAGTCAAGGGACGGAGGGCTGGTTTAGGACGACGACGATCGCCGTGGCCGTCGGCGGCCTCGTCGTTCTGCTGATACTCGCCAGCCTGGCCGTGAGATTGCTGCAGCCCGTGCCGGCCCCGATCCGCGCGAGCGGCAAGCTCGTGCCGCATCGGACGTCCGTCAACGGGCCGCCCTTACTCGGACCACCGAAAGTGCCTCTGGTTTAAATGGGAAATTCCGCGATCCAAAGACAAAGTTTCTCGACGCAAAGTGTTCTAAGTAGTAGTTTAACTAGCGGGGCCGATCGTGCCGCTGGCTTTGGTATATGACTTGATCGAGCCCTGAAGAGCGATATAACGTAAGAATCCTTGTGCATTGTATATAGTATATACAGTCTTTTGCGCGATTCCCAAACTTGGTCTCGACTATTCGACTTTTTACGGCATATTTAATGCGCGCGAGAACGCGCAGTTCCGCGAGACGAGTCCCGCAGGACCGCCGGGCCATGTACCGAAGTCCAGCCGGCAGGCTGTTTAGAAAGCTAGCGGGCCCTCGAAGGCTCTACTCGGCTGTGAATTTTACAAGAAAAAAAAAAGAAGAAAAACGAACGACTACTGTAAATTATAATGTTCGCGCAACGATAGCGTGTGTATTACTTGTTGCATTTCTTCGAGGCGGCGCGCCGCGCGCGAGAGAGAGCTCGAAGAGTGAGGGAGGAACGGTCCCCCCTCGAACGTGACGTGTCGGGTCCTTCGGACACGACGTCACGACCACGTCTAACACGCACAAGGTGCATCCCGTGCGATTGGCACGGTTCTATAAATAGTACCTACGTATTTCTCTCTTCTTCCTTTTTTTCTTATCATATCGCGAACGACACATTAATTTCGACGTCGCGACACCCGATGTCACATCGTGAGACCGCCGTTCCCTTCGAGACACGTTGTTATACGAATTTTCCCTTACGAATGGCAGCAGCCCCCGTACGAAGAAACGGAGAGCTGAGTCTCACGGATGAACGCCGAACATTTGTGTAAGAATAAATTCGCGANCGCGAGTATACATAATCCCGTGGGGGGGGTCGCCGTTGCGAGCCCCCCCCCCCCTCCCGAGATACGGCCGTGACATTTGTAAAGGCGTCACTTTGTACACATATTTGTAAGCGTATTCCAATGTAAACACTATATTGTGATAGTACGACATAATAACGATAATAAAATAAATATATCTAGGACGTTTACTTATGTATAACACATGGGCGCCGTTTTACACACACACACACACACACACACACATACACATATACACACGTGTTACTTTTGTGTAAGGAATGAACGAGAATGATGAAAGTAAAGATGTATTTTAAGCGTCTTTTTTTTTTCTCTCAGGGTTCTGCCTCTATTTATTTGCTCCTTGTCATCATTAACACGCCACATACCACATCGGTATCCGATATACAGGAAGGATACGTCATTACTCTGTAAAATAGGTGGTTCCGTTCGATCAGAAACGCTTTCACGTGTTGCATCGAAATTTTTTCAACCATAAAACGCGAGTATAATATAAATGTTTTGGCATCACAGTTTAAAAATCGCTCATCATATCTCATGTACACCATCCCCCCCCCCATTTTTCCCGGCAAATTTCTCGCGGTTGCGCGCGTCCAACTCGCGTTTACACGCGCGTTAACCGTCCCTACGTACGTCGATCCACCCGACACGGAGAGGGTGTGTGTGTGTGCCGGATCGTTTTATAAAAATACTGCTCAAGGTATGTATCGCCCTCGATTCATGTTACCAGTGTTGTTTCGGCCTCTTTCCTTTAGAAAGAAAAAAAAAAAAAGACGGTGTTTTTGCCTTCCCGCGTCAATCGAATTTCGAGCGTGACACATTAATATTTTTCTTCTTGTCATCTATGTACATGCATGTAACATAGGAATATTGAGATTTAGCATGAATCACTTGAAATCAGTCGCCTGTCAACCCGTCTGGCGGGCTCGGTCGCGATGATAGCAGACTTAAGAGAGTATCTCTCCGAAAGACTTGACGTAAGCCTCGTGGAGTTTGTTGATAAAATCAGGATCGCTTTTCAACAAGTAGTTGAACGCTTGCAAAAGCTGATTCTTCGTCAACGGTTCTAACGGTCTGCTTAAGGACTCCGGCGGACTGGGCGCGGCGAACATAACGGGAGGCATCAACGCCGGTGCCGATCCTCTTCCTGACAACGTAGGCGCCGGTATAATGTCGTCTGATGACTGCACATGAAATAAACGATAAGCATTACACAAATATCCCTGTGTGTGTGTACAGTAAGATGATCGAAGGTTGCATATTTTCACATATTTTCCACCTCGACGAGACCACGCATCTCGTATCAGATAGAATTTGTTTCTTAGACAAATGTATCTCTTGATACATCAATCTCACGGTATTATTATGATTATATTTATTATATGGATACATTATACATGTATTGAGTAGATAAATGTGTCACGAGATAAATTTTTCTATTGGACACGCGAGATACGTTTGAACGCATTCAGAAAACACAATGGTTGTGTACAATCCTTGAACGAACATCGCCTTTGATCGAGGCATTTTTTAGATTCACCTCCAAGTATACTTTCAAGATAAATTCCAATGACAATGAACGTTCACTCAACGGTAGTGTTTCCTGAACGCAGCCTCCGTTAAACTCGATCGATTTAAGTATCGCAGACTTTCATCATCTGACTTCTGTCTCCGACTCGTACTTTCTACAAGTTCGACCGAATATATCTGAACTTTCCTCACCGTGTTTCCCGTTGCGTGAGCAAATAATGACGCGAGCGGATTGGCATTGTTGGCGTTGATAATGTTGGAGGTGGTCGCCTGATTTCTCAGAGTAGAAGACGACACTGTGCTGGTCGGAGACTGTATCCTGAGAAATCCGGTCGAGCCGTTCGAATCGCTCTGATTCACCGACAGCTGAAGTTCCTGAGACATCGGCGCTGGCGTGGACATGAGCGTGACCGAGTCTTGCTGCGGAATCGCTTTGTTCCGTCTCTTGGACCTGTTCGACGAGGAGATGCTGCTCACGTTGTTCGGAGTCAGCACGCTCGCCGACGGTGGCTGTGACTGGTGATGGGTAGACGGCTGCGGCGTTATGGATCTCTGTTGTTTCTCAATATGTTCCAGAGTGTGCGCCGCCGGGTGAGACATTAGACGCGCGAGCAGAGGTTTGTTCTCCACCACCACCGCACCTCCGGGAGTGGGTTGGTCGCCCGCTTTGAAATGCCCGGTGTTCACCTGGTTACGAAACAGACACGATCGTCATAATCATCGTAATATTAACATTTCGAGAAACGAATTCCTCCCCGTTCTCTCTCTCGGACGCGACACCATCGAGGGAGAGATAACATTAACCTTAGCTTTAGCGAAGAAGTCCATTACACTTTGCGAGGTGACATCGGGCCCCAAAGGCGCATTCAACGGCCCGGGAATACCGTCCGTGGGTGTGGCCAATGGAGACTTCGTCCCGGTCACCATACTGTCGTTGCCACCCCCACCACCTGAGCTTCTACTTGTATTGAAGTCTTCTTGCGCCTTACTGAGCATACTGAATATATCTACATTATTCACATTAGGTCCCGAAGTTTTCTTAGCCTTCACGGCTAATGGCTTGCTGTTCACTTTGCGACTCTCTTCCGACTCCTTCAGGAGTTTGTTTATCGTATTCGCGATGCGTACGCACTCCTCCTTCTCGTAAAACCAAATACCGTAGATATTGCATCTGGAATTTCTGTAGAGCAGGAACGGCTCCTGCAGTTGCAAGTCTAAGCCCTGAGCAACCGGCTCAACCAGATTGTTCGTGTTTAATCTGCAATATATATATATATATTTTTTTCTTTTGCGTTAATTATCACACTTTTAATATCAACGATACGTAGAAAATACAAATTGACGCGCGGAAGGTATCAATTGTTTTCGGATCAAGTCAATTTGTCGGGCCTCTTTCAAACGAACCACCGGCGATACACAACAAACAACGTGCATAGTGTACACTTATTGAGGAACTTTTACAAGAGAGAAAGAGAGAAAGAGAAATATAAGAACCTGTTCATTATGAGAATACTGTTGTACGGCTCGCCGTTTCTTGAATAGACGAACAGGGCACCCTCGATGTTGGTCTTCTCCCATTCGTTTTCGTCCGCGTTAAATGTATACAGGGCTACGTGGGTTGCGGTCTCCAGAATATCCTTGACGTAGGGGTCAACTCGTTTTAACGCGGCCACATTCATTCTCAATTCGGTCCGATCCGTCATGATGATTGAGACTACGAATTGCACGGGGAGCTCGACGATTACCGGTGACTTTCACGTAACGTGCACGTTGCACTTTTCGCCCACCGGCTCTTCAATTGCCACAGAACGAGTAATATTTTGAAATAACGCAAGCAGCTGCTGCGACGACAAACGCCATACTGGATCAGTGTAGATTACTGCCGTTGACACGCTAAGGAGTTAATAAAGCGTTCCAAAGGTGGCACGGCAGCTTTCTCTTCGATTTCTCACGTTCGCAAGGGATGTTGCTGAGAGAAAAACTCGGGACTTAATTTCCTCGTTGATAAATAATGTCGAAAGTTTATCCGGCGAGTTATTCGATCGCGTTATTGACAAATAAATGATTCGTCTGCTGTGTCATTGAGCTATACCACTGTGGAAGATAGGTGCTTTCGATTTGATTTCCATAGGCATTAGGGGGAATTCACATCTTGACAGAAAAAGCAGAGGAGCAGCAGAGTTGGGCAGAAACATCGATGTTCGCTCGCATTGAAAGTGATGTTACATCTAGAGAAAATGTTAGGGACTTCAGAAATTCTCTGCCCGACAGCCAATCGGCACATCCGACTGAATTGAATTTGGCCAATCAGTACAAAGCTAACTGAACTCAAGTTTAGTGAGATTTAGTGAACTTTGCATTGATTGGTTAAATTTCAATTCAATTTGAATCTTCAATCTGTAGTCTAATGTGGGGTTTAATGAGCGACATCGATGTTTTTTTAACGTCGATTATTTCGTCCATCTTTAGCATGCAGTAGATAAAGCAGAAACTATCGACTACCAGCGCGAATTCTGATTGCCTGCTGTTTTTCTTCTGCTTTCTAATTTTCTGTCAAGATGTAAATTCTCCCTCAAGTGAAATGCATTTAAAATACAGGGTGTGTTCGTAGAGATGCTATTTAATGCTATCGCGTCGTTCTATCTTTATTACTCTTTACATATACGCGGTAGCGCTAAATAGCGTCTTCTCGAACGCATCTCTAGAAAGTGCAACAAAAAGGAACTTAAGAAATGGCGTACGTGAGAAAAGGCGGGAAGAAACGTTAAGTTGTCAATCATAAAAATGTCTATTATTTAGTCAATTTGTTTACGCACATTATGGTTCTGGTACCTGTTGGATCACATGATGGCCGACGAATTCCCGGATCCGGACGAAGAATTCGATCTGATTCACCAAGCAGACTACGAAACTTTAAGAGATATAGAAGGTAAATAATATGATTATATATTTTATAAATTTACACAGCTGTTTTGTGTTGATTAAAATATATAAATACAAGTATACACAGACCTTTATAAATAATATTTTTTATATACTTATATCACAACAGGAGAATGTATTTTATATACTATTAATTGCATTACTAATTTGTAATTGGTTATAATTACATGAAGATGAGCTCACAAAATGCCAGACACCGCAGCCTCGTCCTAGCGGAATACCTCGAATAGCAAACAGTAACAAACGGCAAGCCAGCGTTGAAGTCTCTACTCCTGTCAATCATGATGAAATTATCGACAATAATAGACCTAGCTGTAGTAAAAAACGCACTTATGGGGATATCAATGAACTATTTGGAGATATCGACGATCTCTTGGAAAATGATATCTCAGGTAAGATAAATCCATGGATAATTGTGGCTGATTACGTTCTTGATCTTCTGAGCAATATTCTGAGAAGCAGATATTACAAGAAAAAAATTTCAGCTGACTTTGAGGAACCAAAAGAAAAGAAGCTTCGATGGGACCAGCCTAAGGATGTCATTAAAAAGATACTGGATGCTAGGCAATTGATATATGAGCATACCGGCAGTACATCGATGAAAACAAAATATAATAATAAGCAAGCAAATCAATAGTATATACTGATTATTGTAATGGGAACCTTAACATCCAATTTAACACATAGTCTTTATTCTTATCTGCCCAATATAGCAAGAAGAATTCCATTTCCTTACGAGTTCCACCATGGAATTTTGTAGCAGTCACGAGAACTTATGATTCTCAACGTCTATACGTCAGAGTTAGGAATACACAGAATGATGTCAAACGATCCTCCGGGCCAATCACCAACCTGCTTTCCGTACCTTACAGACAGTTGAAGGCTCAAGCTGAAGAAGTGCGTCTAATTCCGAACTTTCTTCTGCAACCATATTTTTGCACAATAGTATTTATCGTTTCATGATCTCATAGTTAACAAGGAAGAGAGGATCATCGGTAGAGCCTGCGTCCGATCAACAAAACGCAATGGATATAGTCAACGACGAATTATGGGTTGATAAGTATCGACCTCGATCCTACATAGAGCTACTTTCGGATGAAACCGTTAACAGGGAGCTCTTACATTGGCTGAAGCTCTGGGACAAGATAGTGTTCAATCGAAAGATCAGCAGGGTGAAGAAGACGAAATTGCCTCAGTTCGGGAAGAAGAAGGACGCGGAGGAGGACGAAGTTGTGGAAGTAGACGATAAAGGATTCCCGATAAAGAGGATAGCTTTGCTCAGCGGGCCGCCTGGATTAGGAAAGACGACCTTGGCGCATATAGCGGCCAGACACGCCGGCTACAACGTCGTCGAGATCAACGCGAGTGACGAAAGGAGTCCGGACACGTTCAGGTAAATCGCGCAAAAATCGCGTGATGTAATTCACACAATTACACATTGCATCCTTGCGTTCAGACAGATCCTTCTCGCGTCGACGGAAATGAGAGCCGTGATGGGCGCCGACCCGCGACCGAACTGTTTGATCTTCGACGAGATCGACGGCGCGCCGGCTGCGTCCATCGAGCTTCTCTTGAAATTTGTCCAAGGAAAACTGACACCGAAGACTAAGAAGGGAAAGGGCCAGTCGGAAAAGACGTCCGATGGCTGTACGCGTCCTGTCGTGTGCATCTGCAACGAACCGTACGCGCCAACGTTAAGGTGATTTTTTCAATTAAGTATTAATTAAGAAATTGACGATCGCCTTACACGGAACGAGACAGTAACTACTATCAACCTTTACTATCATTTTGCCGTCGAAATATGAAAATAGGAGAAAAATGTATCCAAAAATTGCATCCACAACAACAGGTCATTATTTCGAACACCTGTAAATGTGAACTTTTTCATTTTTACCCTAAACATCGATAACGTTTTTATTTTCCTAAGATATTCAGAGTGATAATGGTTCTTGCCTCACTCTGTATATGATGGTTGGATTCGAAAAGATGTCTTATGTTGGAAATTCACTTATAGAACGCTGAGAGCCGCAGCTATGATAATACCAGTGCCGAAAGTGAGTCCCTTGAGACTAGCCGAACGTCTGATGGAAATAGGAAGGAAGGAGAGCTTGAGTTTGGATTTCGGCGATCTCGTGAAAATAGCGGAGAGGTCCGCCTGTGACGTGCGATCTTGCGTAGGGGCGATACAATACATAGGTAACACTGACTTGAAGGATAATCTGTCCCTGGGTCTGAAGGACACCCGTAAAAACTTATTTGACTCGTGGAACAGCATCTTGATGATCCCCATGCACAGGGAAGGCGTCGTCCCCGTTTCCGAGAGGATCGATAATATCTTGAGAACGGTGCAAAACGGTAATTATGAGAAATCAATCCTGCCCAACTTATTACAGAGAGTATCTGTACGTCGTTATGCATTGTTGCAAATTTTAACATCAATGTCAGCCCCAAACATCACGAACGATATCTTTCTTTCTCAGCTGACACGGGAAAGCTGACGCAAGGAATATTTCACAACTACCCCGAGGTCTGCGATCGAAAACTCGACAGTGTGTCCACGTCGCTGGAGTGGTTTCAATTTCACGACCTAGTAACGTCGCTCGTCATGCACAAGCAGGTCTGGTCGCTCATGTCCTACACCAATTACGGATTTATCGCGTGGCACTTGTATCTAGCGCGCACGCAGAGAGTGAAATTGTCTTATCCCACAGTTTTCGGTGAGGTGAGTATTATATTGATCAATTAACAGGTGTAAAAACATATGCAAGCTTATATCGTGAACTTATCATTATTTCGTAACATTACGTATGTAAATTTATCATTAGGTTGTGATAAAAAATTTCGAGCCTTTTAGGTGAAATAAGACGATTGTATTTTTATTTGTCGTTATAATTTTATGAAGCTCAATATATGCGGAAGACGGCGGAAGGAGGTCATAAAATGACCATATAAAATTATAATGGCACGAAAATACAAAGGTTTTTTTTTCATATTATCCGAAAGATCGGGGACTACTTATTACATAATCCAATGTCACTACTGTCGCCGTAGGTGACTCAAAGATCAGCGAAGAGCGCGGGTATCCTGACGTCGATACGAAGAGTCTGCGGACGCGACGCTTTCACCTTGACCACGGACATCGCCTGTTTCCTGCCGGATCTCTTGGCACCGAAACTGCGCACGGTTCCTTCTCACTTGTATTCGCCGAAAGAGAAGGACGATCTCGCCAGAATAGTGAACGTGATGCTCGAATTTGGCTTGAGCTTCGTGCAGGAGAAGAACCCGCACGGCGGATACATCTACAACCTAGATCCGTAAGTCAGCACAATGATCATTTGTGAGGAGTAATCCTTGGCGGTAATCGCGTTCCTTCTTTTTTTTTTAGCAACATTTTGGACGTCGGCGTCCTTCCCGACTGCAACGCACATCGGGACCTCGCATACGCCGTGCAGCAGATAGTCACGCAGGAGCTGGAAGTTGAGCGTTTGAGGCGTGCGACTATCTCGACGGGTCTCGGAGTTAATCCCGAAAGCGCAAAGAATCCGAGAAATCCTGAAACTACGGGAAAAGTTCAAGATAAATTTTCCAAGAGTCCGAGTGATGCCGAGCAATCTGCGAAGAATGCGGCGCCGTTAAAGGAAGTAGTGAGTCTTCCCATGTTTCTTTTTCTCTCTATAATATTTAATATGATTGGGGAAGAGGTTGATTTATACAGTAATATCATTGATCTTTCCTCATACGTTTGATGACGCAATTATTTTGCAGGTATACAAGGACTTCTTCGGTAATATCATCAGAAGCGAGAACGAGGACGGCCGGAAGCAGAACAAATCGGCCAATCGTGTTTCACCGAGGTCTCAAAAAGGACACTCTCTGATACAAAACATCCTGACGAAGCACGGAACTTGGTACAAGTACAAAGAAGGCTGCAACAACGCCGTTCGTCGGAATGTGTTCATAGAGAAATTTTTGTAGCGGATCAATAAGAAAGTTCTTACAAATGACATAAATGGAATAAAACGAGAAGAAAGTGACTCTATATTACTGACTCTATATTTTTAATGTTGTAACGCGAACGACTACTCGGCAAACGGTCTCCGAGTGATTTTAAACTTCTTATGCTCGATCGGTAAAATAGATCATTTCGGATCTCTACCATTTAGGGAATTTTTGTTCGCATACAACTTGCTATGCTTGTAACGTTATAATTTTACTATTAATGTTCATGAAGTTTCTTCATCGAAAATGAAGTGAGAAAAAAATTTCAATAAAAAAAATGATAAACGCGTCTAAAATCATAGATGATACAGTATGTTGATGATAATGCAGTTGTTTAATGAGACACTTTGGTGGAAATATACGTCTGATAAATCATACTGTGCTGCTTGGAGTTCGAACCCCGTATGACGGTTATCAATGCTTATCGGTGTAAAGATAATGCCATTTATTGACACTAAAAAACTTTGAGACGTTTCTCTGCCAATTACGCAATTAACCAAAGGAAAGCAACATGGAAACGGTATGTATCAGTTTTTTATAACCTAAAACTTGACATTCCTTTTCTGCTGTTATACTCGATATATTCGATATTAACAAAATTTATTTCGTACTTAGTGTCGTCAGTAGTTTGTGTATTTATACAAACTTTGTTGTGTGTCCTTTACTTGAATTAATATTTTTCCGTTTTCCTAATCTTATCTATTTCCTTCTCATTTCACTCTCTTGTACTTTTCTTTACATACAACATACAAAATTATATGCAGAATAATAAGATAATCATTTTGCATTTTAGCAAAAGAAAAGGGAAGTACCATCATTGCTGAGAAAGATCTTAGCAATTGACGCTTATCTATCCGATGCTTTCGTTAAGCGGGTGGAGCACCTTTTACCTCTGAAACAACTAAAAGTGCATTACACAACCCTGGAGGTAGAATTACTGATTATTTTGTTGATCAAGCAAATTGTAATATTCCCGCATTATATATTTGGTAACTTATTGCATTATTAATATCTTTCTCCTTCAGATATCATGTCATGGCTTATTATGGCTCCCAACTACTCTCATGTTCATCTGGCTTTTGGCCAACAAAAATTACTATCAATTACAAGTAAACCTACTGATAGGTTAGTTCGGGGTAAAATTGATGATGCATGTATCGCACACAAGGAACACGAAATTGCTTTTTCAGGATTGGTACTCGACATCATTGTGGTCGCAGTGGTGAAGGCGATAGCGAGAAGAAGACGGCCCTGCATTAACGACGACCCTTTCTCCCTGGGTCCCGATAAATATTCATTTCCTTCCGGGCATGCGTCGCGTGCGACATTTATCGTGTATACTTTCATTTATTTGTGGCCCATATCTATGATATGTGTACCACCTCTGTTAGCATGGTCCTTTTCGATATACATGTCCAGAATTCTGATGAGGAGACATCATATACTCGACGTCCTGGCGGGTATAGGTATCGGTATCCTTGAAGGCTTGTTAATAGGATACATGTATTTAGAGCAAGAGACTTGCGTCAACTTGATCTCGTGGGTCACTGACGAAAGAATGTCCGGGCCAGAGTACGATGTTTGAGTAGACCTATCTCTTGTAGCATTTATGTTTTTTCTGTTTATTATTATTGTTAATATTTTACCATTATATTTGCGTGTATCATGTTATGTGATACATATACATATGTGTGTATGCTCAATTTCTATTTAAAGGCCTGATGAAGTTGAGAAAACGGTGATAATGTAATAGAAAACGATCGTAAGGGGTGTTATTTTGTGAATTCGCTGAATATTATAAAATAAACGAACAGTTTTTGGATCCTTATCCTTATTTATTTCTTCCTTACTCGAGTAGAGAGGACAAAGACACACCTTCATTTTGTTTTATAACTTTGTATTATAGGAGCTGGTCTCTTCGTTTTTTTCACGACGTTTCGTTACGCTGTATCGCTTTTTTCTTTGATTTCTCTAAGAATTAATTATTATATAAAACTTTCTCAACTATACGGAATGTGTCACAGATATCGCTGTCCGATTGTTCGTCTAAACTCTTATCGTACCTCTACATGTATTAATTATTGTAATTCCATTATGGTTACGTGTATGGTAACATTCGCAAGTTGTAATGAGCCCGACAAAACACTTATCCACCGGTATTGATCCATCTCTTTAATAGTAGTTCTTGTAATCTTTGTAGAACGTCCCGCTATTTGAATTGCACATCCTGAAACGTCAATGAATACCTCCGTGATGTTTACACTCACGCATGATACACTGTGCGTTTTATTACGATTTTACGTGGACAGTCTTCGGATTGATAATGCAAATTTATGCTAATATATTCCTTTTTTTTTCACATTATTTCAACTCTACTCATGGTCTGCCGACTCTAAAAGTGTCGATATAATAACTAAACTAATTCTCATGCACAATGTAACATTAATCAATGTTTCGTGTGAGGACGCGAAAGCATTTTACGTCTACATCATTACGTGTGCACCGTTTAACAAGTTACATATCAATCAGTCGTATCGATTCGAAGCGGAGATATCGCGCGACATGCAGTGGTTTTCATTTCACACTCGCGACATTGAATACAAATAAATAAATAAATTACTTCGACATTTACAAGGAATAGCGCCACACCTCCCGCGAATTCGTAGACGCTCTCTGTACAATCAAGGTGACAATCGTGTTTACATTTTGCATATTATTACGCCACTGTTTTCGCGTTTGTAAATTATTGTGTACGTACATTCGCTAACTTAACTTCTACCGACGACGATGTGAACAGATCGTCACAATTGGGAAATAAATGCGCGATGAAATTGTACGATCAGATTTGTATAGCTTCTCGGAAAAAAAAATGATTATGATTATATAGAATTATATAAAATCATATATGAATTTTGTCCATATATGTGGTTCGTGTATGATCATATATGTTTGTACGAAAAAAAAATGATGTTATGTCATTTAATTAAACGTCGATATCACGTGCTGTCAGAAAGCACAAGCAGCCAGAAGCATTTACTTCGATTGTGTTTGCATATAATTTGTAAACAACAGTATTTTTTCGTTGCGAACATATATGATTACGTATGGTTATATATAGGCAAATTTCATATAGGATATTTTTTTCCCCGGGTTATTCGTCCGTTTACAACTTCTTGCATATATCGAGATTTAATGGAAAAAAAAACGAATAAAAATTTTTTAAAATCCGCGGAAATATTGTCTCGACGCGAAACTGTAAAAGCCGCGAAAGCTTACACTACATGTTATTACATGAGGTCCCTTCACAACAGGATAATCTAGAACTATATTTAGGAAGTTACTGTATTTCCTCCCCCCGAATGCGGCAACAATTGATCAATATTCATCGTTTCTCCGCGCTGGTTTTTTATTCGTTCATATTTATTAATTTATTCCTCGAACAGATATGAATATGTGATCCATTCCAGCCATGTGTGGTAAATATACTCTGACATAAGTTTATCCGCACACACACATACACACACACACACATATATACGCACGCATGCACGCATTCACCCAAATGGATTACAAAGTTTCAACGCAGGTATTCGATCTGTGAGAGTAAATTATCAAATCTTCGAAATCAGAAATAACTCGTAAGATAATCGGATGTCTTTTCGTTTGATAGCTTTTTCACATTTTTTCATGTCTTTGGTTGCAAAACGCATTTCGGTTTTCCCACCTTGGAACAACAAAGAATAAAACAACTGCATTTTATCAACGACACAGACAGCTCATATGTCTGAAATACGTCTTAGAGACATCTGAAAGACCTCTGAACAAAGAGCAGGACTTCTCTTAGATGTCTTTGAAACGTTTTTTGCGTCTATGTTAATAGTCGTTACTTGAAATTTGCCTCACGTGAGATAACCAGATCCGAATAAGAGAGTTAGATCTGAGTATTTTATTTGAATCTCATATAATATTACGATAACATTTGTAATCGTAACTCAGCTGAAAGATTCATATATATAATTTTATATTCATATCTGAATATTTCATGTAAAATAAATTTCAATTATCAACTATTAATACGGGTCTTGGATGCATGATGTTGTAGAGGGGGGGATTAAATCACTACGCGTTTCTTTCCCACACAGAGAATCGAAGGAATAATCCTGCCAGGATTAGGAACACAAGGAAATGAAGAAACAGTAGCTTGCAACAACGAACTCGACTTCAATTCCCTTCGACTCATGTTTAATTTCTCGCGACATAACGTCGTTGCCTCTTCCCACGGCGAGAAGGGTGTCGAAATCGAGACATGATGACGCATTTTCTCCGGATCCCGATCAGGGGTCCGATCATGAATATTTTCCTCTGATGCGGACTCGCGAAAAATGAAAATTTTCCAACTTCTATGCGTTTGCGAAAATATTGACTTTTCCCGTGTTTACGATACAAAAAAAGACTCGCGTCTGTCCGCTCCCCCAAGGCGACGATCATGTAACTTCACCTTAGAGACAGGAACGCGTGAAAAGTTTCACATTTCCATTGTTCAACAAGTCACATGATCATTCAAGTCATTGAGTTCACGTGAAACCCTTCACGTTTTCGCATTTAGGAAAAATTTACACCAGATCGCTGCCCAGCACGGAATGGTCCGCGAATGTTTTCATCCTGAGTTAGCGATTACGGGTGTGTTTGTAAAAAGGTTCATCTAAGTTCACACCAGCAAAAGAGGCGAAATCGGCAGCGTGTAAAATTACTGTTGCTGCGTCTCGTATCTTCCATCAATAAATAAAATGTTGATATCTGAAACCGGGTATGTATACATCGTCCTATCTATAAGCAAATGACTATAAGAAATTCTTATAATGACTGAGTAAATAAAGTAAAAATGATTCCTTTTCTCTTAATACGAGTACATGAATTATACTGTTCTTTTTATATTCAAACATCTAAGAAACCAGGCATTTTAAGACTCTGCTACCTCGGCAATCAGACGGGTTTCGTCACGTCGAAGACGAGAAGTGACACGCAATAAGTTTTTTACGGTGTATAGTTTTATTTTATTAGTTTCCCTGAAATACATAACAGTTTCGTAATCCTGAAACCTAGAAAATAAAACTGCCGCAAAAAGCTTACCGCATGTTATTTTTCGCCTATGGCTTCACAAACTAATATAGCAGAGAGCCGAGAGATAGCCGAGCTTTAAGAGGTATCTTAAACTCAAAATTACGTTTGTCTCTTTATCCGCGCTTTATACAACCAATTCCAACCGTCTCTGTTTTATTCACTTGGTTCAATACATCACATTGAACATAACAATCGTATCTCCAGCAACTGTGTGTCAACAACCGATTTACTGGTGGGAGATCTGAAACACAGCATCAGTAATTGTAATTAATGCCAACTTCATCTCTTTTACTGGTGGTAGCCAAATCTCTATTTTTTGAGATACATCTTACATCTCTCTTACTTGCTTTAGACCGTGTTCGGAAAGACCACCCTGAAAGAGTAAAGCAGGATAGAACAGAGTGAACAGTACATAACTTTTGAAAAGATAACTAGCCAATGTACGATCTCCCGAAATCTTTATAGCGTGCATTTATAGAAAATTATTATCAGTAATATTTTTCTATAAAGGTATTGACTGGTTATCTTCGTCATAATAAAGTACATAATAATCTTTGATGTCTTTCCAAACACGTAGTCTGAAAGACGTCTTTTAAACATACGTGTCGACCTGGTGCACCTAGGTGAAATTTCCGAACGCAGCCTTACGCACTTCTGCCTAAAGGGAGGGAAAGAAAAGCGCCAGTTCAACCGGGAGTAACGCTAACTTGGCTTGATTCGACCCGTCCGTGAAACGAGCAGCAGCTCGCCCGAGGAGGAGGGATGATGTCGGACGAGCGATTTCACCACAAGGGCGAATGGTAGAACTTGAGATCCAGGTGGCCGTGTTGATTGGTACCGGTGACCTCTTGGCCGCACGACGGCGACGGCTTCACGTTCTTCTCCGTCTTCTCGGCCTCCAGCAGGATCGGGACGAACGGCTGGCTGTCAGGCACGACCGGCGTCGGCACGGTGGTCATCTCGATACTGCGTTGCTTTTGCTCCTCTTCGGAGTAGAGGCTCAACGAGCGCGGCCGTTCCAGCTTCAACGGAGCCGCCGATGGAGGTTGCTGCGGCGGCAAAAACGCGCTGCTAATCTCGTCGCTGAAAAATCAACTTGCCCGTCAAGTTGCGCAGTCGCTCACTCGGGCGAGCTGAACACCTTTTGCAAGCAGCATGCAAAATCACATCTCTTTCTCTCTCTTTTGTATTTCGGTTTTGAGTTCACTCCGCCGTGAGCGCCTCTCTTTCTTTCTTTCCGCGGGGAAAACTCGATTTCGTTCAACGCACATACTTCTTGCACGATACGAAACTAATTCCGACGAAACGATTCGTCGTTTGATCCTACATAGTACGTACGTCTAATGACGACTGTATATTAATTGGCCCCAGTGATCATTTGTTAATGCAGCAGAAAGACGTTACTATATATTTGAAAATAGCGAAGAAGCCCGGGAGTCTTGACTTTTCAGCGCGAACTCGCGTTATTCAGATATAAATTTCATTATTTGATAGCTCTTAACTGATCTGCATTAACAAAGAAGTGGCGAGGGGGGAGGGAAGAACGTTGTGAAAAACGCTCGGAAACATGCCGGAGAGCAACGTGAAATTAAACGGTCAGGTTGATGAACATTCGTTAACATCGGCACTGATCCTATATAGGTGATATAATTTTATAACAGCGATACAGAGCATATATCTATATATATGCAAGGATCCGTTTCGTACAATATCGAGTATTGCACTCAACAACAACAAGCATGCTTCGCTCATGCCGATGGATATTAAAGTAAACTTAAAGAAAGAATCACGCGTCATTTGATGTCTCAGACTACAAGCGTGAAGTTCATTACTGGGCGAGTAACAAAAATATATATCGGAGGGTTTCGGTTTTTCGCATGCACAGAATATGAGAAAAAATATCGGGATCGGTCTCGATTCCACACCTACGTGTACGTTTCTTTCTATATCTACTAATTTAGGTATAACAAAGTAAATTGCGACTACGTGCGCGAAATCAGTAAATAAACTTTTATTAACTCATACGTATAAATATAGATGCCAGTGATGATTACATAGAAACTTACGAGCTATAATTTACACAAAAAGCGCGTTAAATAAATATAATGTACATATTCATGTATAAATTAAGCTGGAATGTGTTAACGAATCCCGGGCTTGAAGCGCGTAGGAGAAAAGTTCAACATTGTATCTGTATCTCGCTATCCCTCTCTCTGTCGTTCCTCTTCGTGTGTATATGTGTGTGGCTAAATCATATTTACACGATATCATCTTCGCGATAAGATGATTTTTCCTTCTTCGACGCCTACTCATATCTCTATTGTTATTACTTAAATTAAAATTACTATCGTACGCGTTCACGTTACATTACAAAGTCCACAATATCTCACAACGCGGAACGATGAATTTTAATTGACTATACAATTCTTTAATTTATATACTTATATACTCATATTCAAATGTACTCTCGTCTTCAAATGTACAGTGAAAATACGTCAACCGTTTTAAAACACGTAGTACAGAGAAAGATTTTAAGTTATATAAATTTAATCGTCTATCGGTAATCAGGTATGTCGACGATTAGTGAGTACGACGTCGATGCGATCTTATTTGAAGGTATATCAACGATTTCACGCGCGTTTTCATGCTATATTTACATCCCTTTCAATATATTAAAAAAAAAAATTGCAGGGGTTCACGCACGGAGAAAAAAGTTTGCTAAAACAGCGAATTCTTTGTTGATATAGTGACAGCAAAAAAAGTTTGTTTGGACAGCAGAAAGATTTGTTGAGAGTGTCGATAGCTATTTTCTGGATATATAGACAGAAAAATAATTTAGTTATGCCAACTAAATTTCATTGCTGTCGCAACGACGTTTTGCTGCAACAGCAGAATTATTTTTTCTGTGTAACAAATTTTTTTGCTGCCGCTATATTAACAAATAATTCGCTGTCCCGGCAAAACTTGTTCTTTCTGTGCGAGATCGACGATCCCATTTCGAGCTCGGACGGAGTGAAATCCGGGATTTGGATGACCCGGAAAATACTTAACGCCCGCCTAAATATGCCCTGGCAAGAGGTAGCGTTCACATGTATGCAGTGTAAAAATAGTGTTTCGGCAAGCTGCTTCGGCACCTGAGCATCAACCCAACGGTGAATTATTGCATTGTTTTTTCATTTAAAGCCTCGATTAAACGTGAAAATCCGCGTTATCGAAACGAAGTTTCAATCGTCACGATCGATGGATGGTCGCGAATGATTGAAATTAGCGGATGAACAGTCATCGACGCGATGCGTTATCGCAGCGAGTAATTATTTCGAAGCGTTCTGGACATTCTGAACATCCCTAGTGGAATTAATGAAAGCTCGAACAGCGCTCTCGTTAAGTAGACGTTAAGCTTACGGTGCGACACTGTGAAAATAAATAAATAAAGAAATTTGCTACGTTCGTTATGTGAACAATTGTTTTCATGGGTAAAGCTTCTCTCGGGGTCTCCCGGGGAGAAAGAATCAACAACAAGGACGAAGTTTCCTTAGGAAAGCCCGAGAGAGTAATCTTCCCACGTAACGACAAGAAGAATACTATTATACATAATATGTAACACTCTCGTGTGTGTGTGTGTGTGTGTGTGTGTGTGTGTGTGTGTGTGTGTGTGTGTGTGTGTGTGTGACAGCGTTATTACGTATAATAATCTTTCGTTAGGTACATCAAAAGAAATTAAGGCAAGCGGTTTGCAGGCTCGGATTTGCGGGCCGTCTCTCAACGGCCGTTGTATGAATTTTACTCACCCAGTGCGCTCGGCTGATTGACCAAGCATCGCTGTGTTATGGATTATCTAAAAGAAAGCGTCGATATCGTCGATTAATCCTCGTGCTGCGGTGTGTTATAACGTTTAAAAGCCCCGTGGGGTCTTACGGGATTCACTTTGGTTCTCTCTCTTTTTTCGCGAACGGAAAAGAACATTGAAAGCGACCCGTGATGACAGAGATTAGTCGCCGAGTGCACGCTGATATTAAATTCAAGCGGAGAAAGACAAATTTGTGCGCGATGCATTATTCGTTTTCGCCGAGGGAATGCTTTCATCACTCGCTCGACTTCACTTTACGCAATCGAAAGAAGGATATTTCAAGTTCCGCTCTAGAGAGACAAAAATCCGTCCTACGTGAGAAACAAAGGATCGTTTTTTCTTCCTTGAGCCTCGAATGTGTAAATTAATTTTTACAAAATTTTCTCTTCAAAGTTGTTTTTTTCTTCTTAAATCAAACGTGTAAATTAATCATAACAAGACAAGACAATCATAGCGGGGTACAATTAAAACACGACGATGATTGAAGAAAAGTATTCTGCGGCCAGGGTGAGAAACAGAAATACAGATCCGGCTCGTCGTGACATTTTACGTGCGTGAGAGGGCAGTTTCGCCGAGCTTTCGTGACACAGCGACGATTTTTTCCTCCACGAGAGACTCGCACGTCCGCATCGGCGGGGAAAACGCCGAGAAATACCCGCTGGGAGAGGGAACTCCCCCGTTATATTCGATATCGTTCTACATTGTCGTACTCACGTTTGCCATGGAACAAGGCGGTCGCGCGGCGGCGTATCTGCCGAACGAGCTGCGCGAAACCGACGGCACGTACGGGTCCCCGTTGAACCTAGAAAGAAAAAAATCATTATCGTCTAACTGCCGTGACGCTGCGAGGCTCGCATCTGTCGCCGCGCGGTACTAGCGCACTCACCTGGCGCCGTTAATGCTATTGTTGTTGTTATTGCTGCTCGGCGTCCCGTCGTCCAAGCGGGGAGGTAGACTGTATCTGTTGCTCCTCACATCTCGACTCTCTGTGAACACGAAAACGAGAAAAATTTTCAATCGCGCGATATTTCACGTCGTATCGCGAAATCAGACTAGACTGGTCGGTTGAATAAATTTGAAAGAGAGAGAGAGAGAGAGAGAGAGAGAGAGGAATTCTTTCGATAACGCTTCAAGAAATCTCTAACCGATAAAATAATTTTTTATGAACGGTAATTTGTATTACGGATATTCAATCACTAACAAGTATAAACAGTTAATAAGAGCCACGTAGTTTGATGGTTGCGATTAACACTTTGACTGCAGACCCCATTTCACGAAAATGCAAATGTGAAAAACATTTTTTTGCGCAAAAAATTCTTTGTGATATTATAATGGTTCTTCTTGATAATAATGACGATAACTCTTTGTAATATTATAGTACGGGGAAATATTTTTCCCGAAAGAAATCTTAATGATAATGAGTGAAGTTAAATAAGTATTACGCTACAAAGTCAACTCTCAACATAACGCACGTGTGATCCGTCCGCAGTCGGAGTGTCGATTATTTCTTCGCGGGAGGGAGCAATAATATCGACCAAGTTTCGCACGCGTGTCTATTCTTCAACGTACTCGTTACTCCAATTGACGAAAATCGATGCCCGCCGTGTGTCCCATTCTACCGCGCAATAGCACGAACTCCGCGATCGCTTCATTAACCTTCGTGTTCTTCGCCGAGTCCTCTTTTTCTCCCCCTCTTTTGACACTTCGAGCAGCCTCTAACACATTCAACGATAACAATAACCGACATTCACCGTCCGCCAATTGCTATCCGCGATCGCGGGCGTCGACGACGCCTCCCTTCCTCCATTACTTTTCACGTTTCATTTTTCGGCCCGGGCACATCAATCTTTCGAGGGGCGCCGCTATCAACAAAACTGGAACGGGTCATGCATAATCAGCGTTAAATGTGACCCCGACGCGCCTCGGGATGGATCGATCGCGAGCGCGGACGTAAGCGGGGCATTAGTCGTCCTCAGCGTGGCATTGGCCGCGATCTTTTTCAGAGCCTCCCTCGAGAGAGCGGACATCGCCGATTTAGGATATGAAACTCGACGGCCTATCCGCCGTAGGGCGGCCCGACCTTCGCTCGAAACCAGACCGTCGGTACCTCGACCTTGCGCCTGTACGACGTACACCTTGAAGACTCGCGGGAGACTCGCTGAGAGCGAGAGAAAGAGAGAGGGAATCGGTCGTCTCGTCGTGAAAGAGCATGAGTCACAGAAGAGTCTCTCAGCAGACAAGAGAATTCTCTTATCAATCGGACTCTTATCGCGCACAACGCGCGAACGGAGCAACTTATCTTTATTTCTTTATTGCGATAATAGCCGGCGAAAATAACGTCGAGTTTTCGCGAGTGGAACTTACTTCCGCAGGAAAAAAAGAGAACGGGTATTGGCCGGCCGTTTCGATCGCTCGCTCACTCTGTGACGCGTTGGACATGTGTTTCATTATGTAAATTATCTTTGATATCACTGATAACGCGAGAAGAACGATCGACCGGGGCAAAAGCTTAATGATCCTTACGTGAGATTTATTTTTGGCTACGCGCGTCATAGAACATCGGCCAAGATTGTGGTCACTCGCGGCGCTTCCGTGAGAGAGAAATTAAGCGTCATGCCTATTGGACGTCGAGATTTATGCTCATCTCGCTGAGACTCGTACATATGTGTGTGTGTGTGTGTGTGTGTGTGACTCCTCAGAACAGGAGAGGTAATTCACGTACCGTCATCAAAGAATCCCTCGAAGACGACGAATTTATTATTCTGCGGAATGATCTTCGAGAGCCCGTAATACTTGCGCAGGAAAGCCAGGAACTTCTCCGACGGTCGGTCGATGGCCAATTTCACCGGCCTAATATTCTCCTCCTGCAAGAGCGATTGTTTTTGTCGAAATCAGGCCAGAAAGAAATACAAAGAGTGTAAATGTGGATAGGAAAATGAGAAAGAGGAATTAAAGGAACGAAATACGAAGAGAAAGATCGACAGGGATATTTTGCCCAGAAACAGAGAGTAAGAGAAAAAAAGAGAAGGTCGACGGAAAAAACCGACATAATAATTAGTTCGATATATTACATAGGGAAGAGGCAATAACTATTGCCACCTTGAATATTTTTGTAGAATAAAAATATCTTTTTAACGATTAAATAAGGTGAGAAAAACAGAGAGAACATTAAGAGAGAGAGAGAGAGAGAGAGAGAGAGAGAGAGAGAGAGAGAGAGATATTAAGTCCAGAAATAGGAGAAAAAGGAGGAAATCAACGGTAATAGCCGACTAATGACTTCTACGCTATGCGAGACTTGTGATATTTCCCGTTACACTTTGGCATGTCCAATTCCAATTTGACTGACTTGAGGGTATTCACATACACACATGATGCGATCGAATAACGCAGCTTGCGCGCGCGCGCTAGCACGATTAACTTTCATGGCTCAGCGAGAGAGCCGCGCCGCCGAGCGATTTATCGCACTTAACTCGGAACCGGGTTTCCAATATTAGTTCCGTGTAAAAGCAGTAGGAATTTAGACGGAAATCGCCGTCGATCGGCAGATATCAAATCGGCGGACCGTACCGAAACAAACGGACCGGTCGGGTTCACTCACCTTGCAAGTTACGTCCTCGAGCGTAACACCTAGCCGCTCTACTCATGTATAATGACCTTTTGTCACGCGTCTATTTAAGATCGGTCACGTTTTACGCGCGATACCGCGGGTCTCCAGCGGCCATTCGCGAGAAAGTGGCGACCACAAAACAAGCTCATTTTCCTCGATAAAATTACAGTCGCGAGCGTGTGGGAAAGAGAAAGATAGATAGAGAGAGAGAGAGAGAGAGAAAGATAAGGAAATCTGACTTTTACGTACAAAATTTCTGCATAATTTTACAGATCTTATCGACACCGACACCGTTATATTCATATCGCGTTTATGACCGGGCAATTTTTTCCCTCCTACTTAAATTTTACTGGAAAAACGCGTTATTCCTCAACGCATGGATTCCACGTGATCGATGAGAAAAGTTTCATCCTTCATCAATTCTCTTCGTACTTTTTGAGTTTTCCTCCCTTTCCTTCTTCGTTTTTGTTTCTCCTACATTCGTTTTTCTTTTTATCTTTTTCCCTCCGCTTTTCTTAACTTTCTCTTCTACCTTCCCTCGTTTCCTTTTCTTTCCTCCTCGGGTCGATCTTACATCGCGGTAAGTCGAATTGACGCTTGCGACACCCAAGGTGATTTTCTCGGTAGTTTCCGCGGAGAAGGTAACGAAAGCAACAGGAGCGTATCGCCCCCTGGTCGCGTCGTTTAATGACAAATTATCACGGCAGTCGAACGGTGTTCCCCGTGAGTTTAATCGATATTAAACGAAATCTATTGCCGCGTCTCGTTATTTGCCGAGTACCGGGACGCGGCAGAAAAAAAAAATAAATAAGACAGACAATATCGTGCGTGAAGAGAAAATAGACATTCTCGAGAAAGGGTACGCTCGTTCGTTCGCTCGCTCGCAAGAGAGCCGATCGTCACGGCGGCGTAATTCCGCCTTTGTGTCTGACCCGGCGCGTTCTACCACAGCTTTCACAGAAAAATGGGTAAACCGCATCCCGCTGCGGTGAGGAGCGCAAAAAAACGCGCGTAATTACCGTCGTAGAACGAGGGATTTCGTACGAGTAATTTAGAATCGATCTCTCGACTCTCTGGCGAAAGCTCGAAATAATGAATGCCGTATTTTTCGCATTTTAATTTCCTCGTGACGAACTAAGCTAACACCCTCTCTATTTCTCTCTCTGCCGTTCATTCCGAAATAACGTCTGCATAATTCTACCGCGTCCCCCCGATGACAAATTTCTTTCTGCCGGACCGAAGGGGGATCGTGCAACAAGTGCGACGCCGTGTATCTTCAGCTTCATTGAACCGTGCACACCGGACACACGAATAATTGTGACGTCGTGCCGTATCGAGTGAGTCACGGCTTGACGCGAGTGAAGGGACACAATCGCGGATAATTGCCGAAGTGAATTTTAGCCGGCGAGTATCGCGTTTCAGGCATCGGCTTTTATTTCGCTTCGTTCATCGGAAACACCGATGCGTATTATGCGGAATCCCGGCAAGTGCTCCGGTTGAACATAACGATACGCGAGAACTCGCCCCGTAGTTACGAACGTACCGTTCTTCTATCTGTACCTGTTCTCGGCCCCCGCTACTCCCCAGACATTTTTCGCTACAATAACGTGTAACGGAGCATCCTGATTCCGTAGAGTTAAAAGAAGAAAAAAAAGAGAGAGAGAGAGAGGGGGGGGGAGGAGATAGGAAATCGTAAGACCGACGGTTTTTCCAGAAGTTTGTGACAACTTTTCAACTGCTACGGTATATACGTCGTATATATAAATATTTTGCTATTAAATTATTTTATTTTTCTCTTATTTTATGAGATTTTTTTAGTGGATCGTGTGTCCTCTGTGAAAAAGTAAGTAGTTTTGCGTGTCTCACAACACAACGCGCGGTATGAATAACTTTATGTCCTAGTAAAGATTTTGCAGGCAGAAATGCGAGATGAAGAACGACCGTTTGAATCGTAGCGTATAAATCGCAAGACTGGCAATTTTCCATAATAACTTCGCAGTTGCGGCCACAACACGAGCTGTTACAATGTATATATCGCGCGTAAACGATTTTATTTTGTTTTCATTATATCTTTTTTTTTTATGTTAGATTTTAGAAAACACTATGTCCTCTATGGAAAATTGAGTCTTATGGTTTAGCGCATTTCATAATTCATAGTCAGTGTGAATAATTTTGCGCCCTAGAAAAGATCCTGCGGGCGGAAATGCGGAAAGAAGAACGACCGTCTGAATCGAAGCGTACAAATCACGAGACTGGCGATTGTCCATTATTATTTCGCAGTTTTGGCCGCAACATAAACCGCTACGACTAGTGCATGCCGCATAAATTACACGGATTTCGGTGAACGGTACGTTCCCTGTAGGAAATTGAATCTCGCAGTTTTACGCTTGTCGTAACTCACACACAGACGTGAATCATTTCGCATCCCGACAAAGATTTTGCAGGCAGAAGCGGGAAAAGAGGGAACACGACCGACTGTCTCTTCGTTACAGTCCTGTGCGCTTGTCCTCACGTGACACCGATTTCAGGGTTTCGAGTCCTCGAGCGGAACGAAAAGCGCTTCACGGATTCCGCCGCTTTCCTCTTTGTTATGCGCGTTTTATACCGTACCCCGTGAAGAATAGTTCCTGCGCGTTATTCTTTATGAATATATACGGCTGACACGCGCTTCTTAAAGAACATCCTGTGCATTAATTTGCAAAGTATGCTCTTGAAATACTTTCGTTGTTATTGTCACCGTAAAAATTCAATACAATTATTAAGCAAGAAAGTTTTCAAATGTATATGCTTCTGATGCATAAATAAAGCATTAGTAAGAAAAATAATATACGTGTCATGAAATTTGCATATTTCGCGCACACGCTCGCTCGCTTCAAACGCGATAACGCCGATAGCTATCGACGAAATATTATCGTAGATCTAGATTATACATCTCTTTACGCTTATCGATGCACCTCACCTAAATAAACATTCGTAATTTTTTTATCAGCTATTTTATCAGGATTATGATAGTTGATCTAGTATAATGCCGGATTTTCAGTGACGATATCAAGGGGTCCTTTCATAAGTTTATTATTTACTGAATGATGTAAAAGAAAAGACCTTCCCATAACTTTATTTAACTGTCTAAGCAGTAAATGTTAATTTTGAGCGCGAAATTAAGACAAATATATACAATATTACAAGCACGGAGATATTTTATTTGTTTATTTTTCTTACTAATGCTTTATTTATGCATCAGTTGAACTAATAGAGATGCGAATGTAATAAAAAGTGATATATAAACATTTAAATATGTGTATATCTACATATATCGCGGGTGTTATTATAAATTATAAATTTCCTATGATTATATCTTGCAAATAAAATGGTGAAAAATTATGAAATTTTTATGTAATATCTCTATATTAGTCCTTTATATCACAGTAGTTTTTCATTAAAATCCTAAATGTGGTTTAGAAGAAATTAAAAACAGAAGTTAAAAGTAGGACATTGATGTGAAGGAATACATATAAAAAAGATCACCTTTAATTGCGAATATTTCAACTTTCGAACAGTCAATCGTTTTCTAACTTCGCAGAACTTTACAATAGATAGTATTTCCAACAATATGCAGCTAAAATTTAAAACGATTTTTAAGAAAATGGTTTAACGATTGGTTGGACCAATTTAAGCGATGATAGTCTGATAAGAAGTACCCGTGAATAATTATCTCAATACTTCTCTCTTGATTTATATGCGGTTATAAACCGCGCATCGCGCGTGCACAATTATATTATTTGTTAAAATAATATTTGCTGTAAATAATTGGCGGTAATTTGCCGTTACGCAAAGATTGCTCTCGTTCTATCGTCGCTACGTAATACGATTACGACGAGCAACAGCACTCTGCTTTCGTTTCGCACGAGGCCTCTCAACGATAGTGATTTAGATCACGATCGCGCGCGACGCCTTCTGCTTCCATGCAGGAAGTAATTACGCCTCGTAGCGGCGCATCGAAGATTTGTCTTCTTGCGAGGGGGTGAAAAGATAGTTCGTATCTAGCAGCGGGAACTCTCTCTTCACGTGAGAACGGCCCGTTTCTCGCGCGCTCGTTAACATACAATTATCGAGAGAAAGGAAAGATGTTCCATCAATTAAATCGACCTCTTTTCTCGACGAAAAATGTTTTTTTCCGAAACGGCGATAACGATGAGATTTCGTTATTTCGCCGTAAAATCGACGCACGGAACGAGCGCTTTTTCTCATTTCACGATGAATGCTTATCGAATAATTATTGTGATAATCAGACTGTGGATCGTTTGCAGTTGTTTCATATATTTTGAGTTATTTGATGAGTTCGTATGGATTTTTACGAAAAATTCAAAGCCGGCTTTTATAATTAGGCATAATTTTATTAAATAATATGTTATCGTTTTTTCTTTCTGATGACAAGTCATCAGAAACTAGAGAAGTAAAGTTATGCTGTAACTATAAAATATATTGGCTTTGAATTTTTCGTAAAAATTTCTACGAACTTATCGAACAACTTAATATTATATCTCGAGTCTGCATCAAAAAACTCGATTCGATCTTCAATGCCTTCGACAGTAAACCGACCACTCTATACAATGGTGATGTACGAACCCGCCGGAAAGTTGCCGAACGATGACTATTAGAATATCTATTAAAACGATAATGATTTATGTGTGTGTGTGTGTGTGTGTTTCTATTAAAACAAATAATTTGTCATCGAGGCTCCCAGATGCACAATCAAATGGAAACGAGAAAAGCCAATAAGAGCCGACTTGAGCGAAATGTAAACTGCGAAACTCAATAAATAAATAAATGGAATACAAAGTTTGATGCCCCATTTCTCATTTCATTTGTTGATTGAGTTTTGCAGATTATCTCGTTCGGTTTAATCTTGCTCGAGTCGGCTCTTATCAGGTTTTTTTCGTCCCCATTATTTCGTTTTAGTAATTTATTTCTATCAAAGTAGTAATCAGATTCGACTAAAAAGTCGGGCGAATTTCTCGGGCTGACCTAATACACGAGAGATCGATCTTGTCGTGCGATATGTAAATTTCGTCTCATATAATGGAAATTGAGAATAGTTTGAGATCAAACTCACGGACAACATGTGCTGGTAGAGAATGTTGCCGAGGCCCATGCGTTGTCGCGACTCGTGCACGTAAAAGTCCAAGATGCACCTCGCCTGCAGCTGATAATGCACCCCCGTCTCGTCGAAGAGGAACAGATTCTTCGATCCCGTCTTCAACAAGCCCACCACGCAACCCAGACCGCTGCAACATCGAAAACGCGGGATTACTCGGCAATGCGAATGATTCACGATCGCCGGTTGCGTCTCGGTTGCGTTGTTACGTCGTTACTTAATGATTGCCAAATGATGCGTAATATCTGCGTATGGACTGACGCGTAACTCATACCATTTTCACGAAGACATAGATCAGTGGTTCCCAATCCGGGAATCGATCTCTCACGTCATCTCCGAAGACGTTGCCTCACCTGGAATGCTTTCCAGCGAGGAAAAGTTTTCCTTTGTCGCTAAAAATGACGAAAAAATCCCTCCGATCGCTTCTGAACGTTTAATCGTAAACGTTGTCCTTCGAATAATTCTCCAACGAGAATTATTATATATATGTGACTCTTAATGTGCTGTTACGTTCGACTTCAAATATATAGACGTTCGACGAGGCGCTCGATAAAGAAGGAGAATTAAGAGAACGGGGGTAATGATTGAGTTTTCTCTATGAGTGAACTATGCAGACAGTCGAGACCGAAGTTGAGAGTCGTATGTCGTCGGCGGTCTTGCAGAATCCGGAAGGTGAATATCCGTAGTAGGAACCACCCTCGGAGCTCGGCACATCGATCCACAGTCCTGCACGAGTTTGTAACCCCCTAGCTGGGAAACACCCACTTCTGCTCTCTCTCTCTCTCTCTCTCTGTAGCACTTTAAAATCCGCAACGCGTATTTCAAGTATCTCGTCTTCCCCGAGACGCTTGCGAGATTTTTTAATCTTCCAGTTGGGGAGGCAACGTGTAATAAGAAATGAGAGGCGGACACGCGAATTTAGCGTCACTCGCAATGCTTCGCAATGCGAAAACGGTATGATTTCGCGCGGACAAATTTATGAAAACATCACAACTCAGCTAAATTTGTGTAGGTGAAAAGGGAGAGATTTTTTAAAGATACAATAATGAAGGATGACAAGAGCCGGTTGCAAATCTACCGAAGCTTCGAATCTTCGGAGATTCGAAATTCGAACGTCGAAGTCTTTGAAAAAAAAAAAAAAGAAATCTAGCCCTGACAGTTAGTATTTTGTTTAGTAAACTAATTAATTAGTTAATAAATGGTTCAGTAAACTATTAAACTACAGCATATTAGAAATAAATGTAAATTAGATCTACAATAGACTTTTATATATGGTTCAATAAAATATGAAATTACAGCACAGTATGTTAGAAATAAATGCAAATTGGATCTGCGATCGGTTGTCGTCCTTCGTTATTGCATCGCCCGAATCAAAGAGATATGATCACGATCGCTCGAGTGAAACTTACTTGTTCGCCTCGTTGTCTACGAGCAGGTAAACCGTGTGGTCCGTGTCGCGGAGCTTAAGGGCGCTGGTAATGGGTTTGTTGAGGCCCTGAGCCCTCGCCGACGCCTCGCCCATGTCGTCCAGTATTCTGCTCAACTGTCTTTGGCATTCGCTGGAAAATAAAAGAAACAGGAAGACACGCGCGTTAGTCGAGAGCGTGCTAGATGACTTGCAGGTTGCGTGTGAGAAAAGGAGAGGCCGATCGCAATTAGCCGGCGGAGCACCGCGGTTAAATTGAACGTGACGTTAAATTGTCATCGCTCCTTATCTAACCTCGGTAATCGGCACGAGAGGGACAAGGATTACTCGACAGAGCTAGAAACACGAACGCGAACGAGAAACTGATATCGGTGGGGTGATAAAAACAATATTGGGTTTGGCGAAGTAACGGGGGNCCCCCCCCCCCATCGAATCGAAGTGACTCGGTTGTCGCCGACTTCGAGCGATCGTTTCAACGAGACGTGGCAACGATAAATGTCTCTCTCTCGCGATAAACGCGAGCAAGATCCGGCGTCTCGGCCTCGGATCGCCATTTTTCAAAAGTCCACGTGGACTGGCGCGTTGCTGAAACAGCACGAAGCAGCCGCTCCACTTTCCTCCCTTCTTCACATTTTACCGCCTTACGTGCGCATCGTTCTCTCACCGATGGGAAATTAATTCCGACGTTCTCGGCATCGGCTATTCGGAACGAGACGTTCCGCAGGCCGGGATTTAACAGCGACGTTAACCATCGCGATCGACGAGACTCGCGTGCGTGCGGAGACGCAACTTGGCGATACTCGCGAATGCGGAATTCCTCGTCGTTATACACCATTTTTCTCCGGCTCTTTTTTCCTTCTCTTCGCCTCGGTATATGCTACATCGCTGGGTGTGGTCGATCGTGCGGCATTACGATTATGCAGCGAAGGGTAAAAATTAACATCCACAATTCGCGATCGACCACGACTCTTCCTTCGGTTTTATCGACCGACCGCGGTAGGACGCTTCCACCTCTGACCGAATTCGACTCGGGTGTATTTTCGGCGCACTTTCGCGCGACATATTGCACTTCGATGTTCGGTGGAATTACACGTCGAAGTGTTACACGAATGCGATCACTCCAACGTCGCTCCAATGAGAATCTACGCGATCGCGAGAAGAGAGGATTCCTCTCTTCTTCTTCTTCTCTCTCTTTCTCTCTCTCCCTTTCTCTCTCGTGCAACACGACGCGTGGTTACAAGCGGCGACCCAATTCTTTCGTGGTTTTGGACGCGCGCCAATCGCCCGTTTTGCAACACAAATTCGGTTAATTCATTCCATTGGTGTTGCACGTCCTTTCGTCTCGGTCATCGTGCCGCGGGTGCGAAGAAACACCGTGATGGATCGCGCGATATCGCGGAGGAGCGTGGGAAAATATGTATAGCCGTATCTGCGATCTCGCGGAGTTTCAATTTTGCGAAAATGTCTCGCAATCGGGGGAGAATTTGCACAATGGATAATCCGGCCGCGATTATTTCGCGATCGGGCCGGAGATCGCTCGGCGGGGATTATTCTTTCTATTAAACTATCGAGGCTCTCTCAGAGGCGCGGTCGAGAAAGAACCTACAAGTCAGTAAAAACCGACGTAAGATATTAATTGCGAGCGATTGAAACTGGTTCAAACTCGGACCGCTCCGAACTTCAATAATTACTTCGACTCTCGTGAACTCTCCTCAACTCTAAATCTCTCAAGCTAAAGGTTAATACGCTAAATACCGAACGGTACTTTCTAGAAATCAGCTGAACGTTTCGCTCGTTCCATTCGTTTCTTAATCCCCCTCGTCATCCTTCATTCCGGGCTCGAAAAGTCTCATCTCGAAAGCCAAAAGTCAAGAGCTCGTGCTAGAACAGCACCTCCTTCTAAGAATCAGCTAAACGTTTGACCGAACCTCAACAACCACTTGGACGACTGACACTCAGCGTTTGACTTAGCTCATGACCGGCCTGTTTCATTCTTCCCCGACTATTCTTTCTCATTACTATTTCTTGGCTCGACTCGAACCTTTCCCGCTCGCCCTCCCGCTCGTTACGCGCCTCTTCTTCCAGCGCGTGATACTTTACGGCCCTGCCGATAACCGCGCGCGATGTAATTAGCAAGTTCGCGCGAGAAACTCCGAGATGTTGACGACCATTTCCGCCCGTATAAACGTATCAATTGAAAGGGGATTACGCGAACTGCGCGCGTTATCACCAAGCCGGTCTCTCTCTCTCTCTCTCTCTCTCTCTTTCTCGGGTCTCTCCGGAGTTAACGACCGATTTCACGGCGCGCACGCAATCATTGCGTCAAGGCGGACGAGATGGGCGACCGGAGACTGCGTTTTCCGCATAATAACCGGATAATGAGGAACAACGCGCGGTGAGAAACCTTCCCCGCTGCATTTCGTCATAGACTTCCGCGAGCGAGCGTCGCGAGTCACTGCCCAAGAATTCGACGGAGGTTGCGAGCGAGGCGAACGCCTCGAGAATTCTCTCTCGGCCGGGGAAAACACACCCGCCGTCGCTACTGTCCGTTACTTTCATACCTCGAGACGCGCGTAAAACGATAAAAACCGGAGAAACGAAAATATTCAGCGCCGACGCAAAAATCGTGTCGTGCAGGAGGAGAATCTGGCCGCGCTTTATCGGCGCGCATTTATTATTCGAGCCTATCGGAGCTGATCTGAGGAGCGCCCACGCTGCCGAGAGAGCGTGGTAAATGCCTGTAAAGTCTGGATCGGCAAACGTGAATACGGAGAATCCGAAATCGCCGTGAGGAACACTGAGAGCCGATAAAATTAGAGTTATCTTATTTTTGGCCACCTCACCTGTATACGCTTCGCGTGGTTGCGTATGGCAGCTTTTCGGAGCTTACGCGGGGCTAACACAAGCCCTTTTGGCCCCCGAAATTTCCCGGAGCGAAAACTCAGCTCAAAACAAGCGAAAAATGGCAGCGTGTGTCTTCGCTCGAAGCGGTAATGGAAATATTGGCACTCGAAATCGTGAGAGTGAATATTTCACTCGAGCTTAGAGCGGATTCCAACTTCATCTTGGAGAGAGAGAGAGTGTGTTTCAGTCGATTGAAGTATAACGGATTTATTCTTCAGTTTCAAATGGAAATATTCACTCGACGATTCAGAGCGGCGAATACAACCCGCGCGAGTGAAGAATCGATCGTTTTTTAATTTTAACTGCATATTAATGGAAATATTATATATACATCTGTACACTGTACTATCTACGTATCTGTAAAAAGCTCGAAAACAATTGACCATTCGAGCTGAGATATTTCCAACTAAAGGTGACACATTTCACCCTTAGGTCTATATAATGTCCTTTAGGGCTTTATTATATTTGACGTGTCGATTTAAAGAAAAAAAAAAATTCATTGATATGGGTGTATTTTTCAAATCTCCATAGAGAAAAAGGCTGAATTGACGTGACGTAAAAGAACCGAATTCGGTTCTTAAGAACCAGAAATTCCGTTTCCTCCCACCAAAACGCGCTTGATTACGTCACGTCACGTCACGTTAATTCAATCTTTTTTCCCCGCGTCTCGAAGATTGAAACATAACAACTCCGAGGAAGCGGGTGATTAATCGCAGGGTCTTAACTGAGAATTGCAGAAGCGAGTCGCGGCAGAACCGCGATTCCACGTGGTGATTTCGTAACAGAACGGGTTAAGCGGTCATCCGCGGATCGTGCCCCATCGTCGTCATCGTCGCGAATTGCTCGTCCCGCGTAATTCCTTAATCGCGAACTACATCTTAATTAACAGGATGACACGAAGCCGCAGCATTCCCGGCGATCTCGTGAGCGGACTTTCCGGTCGGAACATTCCGCGGTCACCGAAGATACCGGGCGACGCACAGCATCGATCGTCGACGCGACGCACAACCGCGCGAGTCGATTTTCCTGCGAAACGAGTAGTACGACTAACTTGCAAATCACTCGCGCCTTCGCGGCTCCGCGCCAGCGTGCGCATTTGGCCGATCGGAGCAACGTCGTCATCGACCGACAGGTGCATATATGCAACATAATCTCGTCGTGTTCCCGAGTCTCCTGGCGTGAACACGGCGAGATGCCATTCTAATAAATTCCTTATCTTCGTGTAAACCTGGCGGGCCAACCGCGTCGAAATTTTGGCCCTACGTTAAACCTCGAAATCTCCAACACGGTAAGAGCGAGAACAGCTCCAATTTCAATTCTACACGGAGAAAAAAGTTCAGTCGAATTAATCTAACCGTTTATACGTTTTTTTAATTTCCTCACGGAGAAAAAAGTTTCTTTAGATTTAGCATTTCTATTTATTTGACTTGGAATTTGTCTCACAGAAATAACATATACGAAATATGATTTGTTGGAGTGAAAATCTTATTGTCCCATTCAGAAAAACTCGATTATTTAACGGAAAGAACGCTATTATTTGGAATAATATCTTTTAATCAAATGAAATATTTGATTAGAATAAATATGTAAAATGAAGCAAATAATTTCTTTATAAGGGAATTATCTATCGTTTCAAACAATTTTTTTATTTAAAGGCAACGTGTGGAACTGGGCACTAGTGGCTACTGTCGTTTTCAAAGTACTCCCCTCGCGCATCTATACACTGACTTAAACATGTTCAAACACGAATACTAGTGTGATTTCGATACAATTAGGTCACAGGTGACACCACACGGCCATTCTGGGAATTAAATTGTCACACCTCGTATATGTTTAATTAAAGAAGGAATATATATAGGGCCATCAGCGGCCAAAGCACAGATGTTATAGTGCCATTTAAATATTAATATTGTTGTGGGAGGATAAAAATGTGATAAAAATGTCCAGCGTGCAACGACGCACGTGCTGAATATTTTCAAGATAAACATACGCGGAAAATCAACCTTCCACGCTTAAACCGAGATCCTTGAATCCCAGTAATATTATTATAAATTCTAAATCCCCTTGAAATCCTTACCCAAATGCTAAATTAATGACCAATTTTTTTACTCCACTCATCATGTTACAGAAAATTAAATTAACACACTCGTCTTATTAACACGTTACTTTTTAACATATTCACCTTGTTAAAAGTAAAAAAAATTTCAGCAGACCGTTATTAACACAATTGTTTACCAAGGACCAGATGAAAATTCGACGACAAGAAATGATGATCGCGACTGAGTAAATTCGTGTGAAAATTCAGCTGCATGGAAACTCGGTTGCGACAACTTTTGATTGAGAAACCTTTTACAGAAATCTTTTTGTCTCCACAACCGAGCTTTCGTCTGAGCCTCAGACAACGGAAAATTCAGTTACACCGACGGAATTGTTTTCTTCCGTGTAGAATCCAAAAGTTCAAGAGAGAAGTTAATCAATGTCGGTATCGTCAGAAAGTTTTATTAATTTAGGCCACCTAAGTAGGCGCAAATCGTCCATAAGAGTATCAAAGTTTCACATCCAAATTTCGACTCGGGCGAAACTTATCCTCCCCGACGAGACACCCGTGTCTCTGTCTCTCGACGAGGGCGACACGTAAAATATTTATTACGCACACGAGATACGGCGGCTGTTGCGTAAAAGGACGCGCGAGAAATTCGATACTCGTTATGCGCGCTCGTGGATGGATTTTCACGCCCACATTTTGTCTACGCCGTGCGGGAACGAGCTCGCCCACATGTTCGAGGTATGCCCAGGTAGAGCAGAAAATCACGATGACGTCAAAATGACGAGAGGAAACTACTATTATTGTAAACAGTCGCTTTTCGAACATCATTCTCTCTCGTCATTTCGACGGCATTTCTCGGCGTTGTCGCGTTTTCCTGTTCTACCTCAAGCCTCTTCTCGTGATGTATCGAAAATGAGGGCTGTCGTGCGATCAATCGAAGGGATTGGTGGATGTTCCGTGAGAGAGAGAGAGAGAGAGAGAGAGAGAGAGAGAGGCATTTATCAGCCCCGGGATACGGGGAGGAAGGACAATTTCGCGAACTCGCTTGTCACATTCAACGACGCGGATACATGCCCGTCACAGCGATAGTCAGTCGTTTTACCCTCCAGGAAAATTTCGGGGAGCCATGACAAGACGAGAGAGAGAGAGAGAGAGAGAGATATTGACATCGGACGACCAGTTTGCCGGTTTGTCATCGATACATAGTGAAAGTGCTTGGGCGTATGTCCATTATTACGACCAACGACGTAACCTTGGCTGATAATGGCCGATGCTATACGATACTTTCACGTATCGCGCGTTTTCGTCCCTTCTTTCCTCCCTTCTTTCGCGAAAAATTCGCGGTCCAGACGCGCCTTGTGTACCGGGGTAGGACGGAAAGTCAAACGATGACGAGTCAAAGTGATGAGGGAAGGAGATGTGAGAATTTACTTTTCGATTACGATCAATTCAAGCATTTTCTCATCATTCTGACGTTACCGCGACTTTCTGTCCCACCTGAGAACGCGGCGATCGTCATCCTCCGATTGACAATGGTTCGCGAAATACACGAGAAACTTGGTAAACATTGCCAGGTTTTTCGTGTGTTCGCTGGTGTTTGGAGCAATCGAGCGTTGTCGTCGCTTCGATGGTCGCCGAAGTCGATAACCTCTACGAATATTTTTCGAAATTTATGGCGTAAGTATAAAGATTTCGGGCTCTCTCTCTCTCTCTCTCTTGCCCGCGAATTAAACGTGCAATTATCGCATAAGATCACCACGTATTCATATCTTTAGAAATTGTTCTACGTACACAACAGACACGTCTCTATATATACGCAACGGCAGCATGAGATAGCAGGAAGCCGGCACAAGCTCGCTCAGCAGTTTCGACATCGCGGAACAGGGATTTTGGTCAGCTGACGTAAGTGCGAATATTGCGCAGCTCGATTAATTGCTCGAGGATAAACGAGAATGCGGAAAGAGGGAAGGGAAGAGGGGGAAGGGAGAGAAAGAGAGAGAGAGAGAGAGCTATTTATAAGATCACAAGCGTGCACTCACTTCAGCTCGCGTCGATCGCCTTTGAAGTCTTCCGGCACCAGATTATGCGTGACCTTGTTGATCTTTCTGGGCAAGAGTTTATTTACGTTGAACTTGAACTCCATCTCGACGTGACAGGGTCGCTATTACCGCTCCGGGCCGTCCGCCTCCTCTTCTCGTTCTCCTCCAGGCGGTCCTCCTCGTCCAGTCGTCCTCGCGTCCTCGCGTATTTGGCGGGCGCGAAGCAGCTTACGTGCCGGTGGACGGCTGCGTTTTCCCGACGATGCTCCTAACCGGAGCGACGGCTCGCCTTGAATATGGCCGTTGTCCGCGCACCCTCTCGCGACAACTTCACTCCGCGTTGTTGATTGTCACGTGAACATCGATCGTATCGCTCCTTCTCTCTCTCTCTCTCGCTCTCGCTGTCACGCGCGAGAGAAGCTCCACGGCACGGCAGAATCTCGCGTGTTGGCCGCAGCCTCGCGAAATGACACCTTCGCGCGTGCAAGCGAACGGCACTCCGATCGTCACGTGGGTGCACCGGACACGATCGTTCGTCCGTCTGTCTATCTATCCGTCCTCTTCTCTCGCGTGTTCTCCCCCGATCGCTCGCGGAACCTACGCTCCAAGCTACGTCGCGCACCGTCGTCCCGAGGATGTTACTTCCCGGCGATGTTTCTCGGCGCCGATAATCGATCTCACACTCTCGTCGCCAGCTGCATCGCGCGACGCGGACCAACCGTTGCGAATGCGCTCCGCTGAATCGATAAAGCGCGCGAGCGCGAGACTACCGACTCACTTGACGGCTCGCGCTGAGCGACTGATAGCCGCCGTTTCGCTCTCGCGAAACACGGGGAGACGCCACCTCTCCTCTCCGCTCCTAGTGTATAGCCTAGCCTTTCCTCACCTCCTCTCGTCGTTCGCCTTCGCGGGAGAGCGGCGAGCCGATGTTCCTCTCGAACGCGCTCTCGAAACGTCCTTCGATTCTCGCGCGAGATCGTTTCGTCGGCGAAAGACGAATCGGTGAAAGCCGAGGGGAGCACCTCGAAGACACGGCTGGTGCGCGAGAGCGTGGAGAAAACGCGGGACGCGCTGGCGAGATGACACCGCGATTCAACGCACCGGATCTCGTCCGACGGGCGAAATTGCGAGCCGCGCACCGGCAGAGGTTCGCGGCTGAGGGGCACTCTCGTTCAATTGTCTCCTTGAAAGCCGCCGCGCGCGCCGAGGAGCGCACGCGTACGGTAGGAACATGGAGGCCGACCGCAGCGACGTATCGCCTGCGAGCCCGGGGAAGTGTCGGTTGCGGCGATTCAATGGGAACACACATGGCATAGCCAGGGAACCGATTGTGTGTGTGCCTCAAAATGTAGCGAGAATAACTTGTGATTTTTATTAATCATTTAATTGCTTCTCCTTGCCAAAATTTAAAGAGGGGGACAAGCGCTCACCTGCTCCACCCTAGGTACGCCCGTGGGAACACACATTAAGCCCGTATCAGACTATGGATTGAAGATTGAATTGAAATTTGACCAATCAGTGCAAAGTTCACTAAATTTCACTAAACTTAAGTACAGTTAACCTTGTACTGATTGGCCAAATTCAATTTAATCTCAATCCCCAATCCGTAGTCTGATACGGGCTTTAGGAACGGTATTCACAACCGAATCTTATACTGAAGATCGTCTCGCACAAATTTATCTTTAGATGCTGTACGACTTGTTTCATTGGCTCTGAAGCTATGAAAGATAAATTTGAGATGATTTCATAGTGAATTCGATCATATCCGCATTACACTGGATTAGTAGACACACTAAAGAGCGCTAAACCGCTATGAAGTATTTAAATACATAACGTAATGGTATAACGTAAGCAATTTGACGATGAGAAATCATGTATATTCTACTAAAATAATAATGACAATCATCATTATGTGTAAAATGCTTATATATATTTTTTTTAAGTAACTGTTTTATATATAGCAGCCTTTAGCCTTTAGCATGTAACAATCCGGTATAATGCGAGTGATCGAATTCGCTATTAAATATGAAATATGACTATGAATACCGGCCTATCTGTTTATTCCTTTCAGTGTACGCGCGCTGAATGCAGTGCTGCTAACTAGGGCTTTTAGCCAGTGCTGGAAGGCGTTCATCCAGTAGGAAAATTTGTTTCTTAGTAATTTTCAAAAGATGCATTTTCTTATTGAATATGTGTTGCAAAGTTCATCGGAAAAAAATATTGCAAATTTTTTGACGCTGACCATACCTGTCGATCTTGCATAGATATTGCGAGGATAAAAATCCTGTTGCGAAATGCAACGACGCATCTCGGGAATTCGATGTCTGCAACAGATGAACCGGGTGAAATGCGAATTAGTTTTTCTTATTCTCGAACTCTTCGATTCTTAGTTGACACGATGAATTTGGTATAGTGTCTGGTATAGTTGTAATTCCGGATACTTTTGGGATTTCACTTTTGCTGGATGCGGAGGTGGATTAGTCCGCGCACTGTGACGAAATGTGCAGGTATATATATTTTATGAACAACCGAGTGGGAAATGATTTCAGTAGATTCGAATTCTGCACAAGATACCGACGTTGGGATGCACACGACGACTGATCCTACTGGTCCGGTTGCTCGATGACAGAGGTCACCTAGTGCTTCGCTGACCACTCTTCCTTTTTCCGCTTTCTACTTATCGACGGTTACCATACATCATTTTCGCGATTATCGACATTCGGTTAGTTTGCGCGCATCGGTGCGCAAAGGCTACAAAATTCAAAACAACGTCAATATCATGTGCTATCAGAAGCACAAATAAGCAAAAAGCATTTATATCGATTGTATTTGTATATAATTTGTAAACAATATTTTTTCGTCGTGGACGATGATATGATTATATATAGCCATAACATTACACAACACTATATATATTTAGTCGGTATTTATAGTCGAATCTTATACACAGGATGTCGTAAAAAAATGTGATCACACTTTGATTGTTTATAAAGTGTTTATTAAATATCGTACGTAATTTACTTTACGTAATGTTCACAACGAACTACGTAAAGTGTGGTAACATTTTTTTGCGACACCCTGTATATAGACTTCATATATATATATATATACATAGATTTTTGTTTTCAGTTTATATTTATCTTCAGGCGTTAAACATTTGTCTATTTTATGCGTAAATTATGCGTTATGTAAAATCGCGGATTCCGAGCTGACGTCACTTACCTGCTTAATTCGTTCAATATTCATTACGGAAATGGTATTAATGCTTAATGTATTTTATGCTTATTTATATAATTCGCTGAAAATTAACGATTTTGCATTTACCTAAAATAAAACTCGATCAAAGTTATCAGAGAAACGCTTACTTTGCGTAACAAACAAGAAGCGGCAATAATCGCTGAGAAATAGCTTATGAAATTAGCTTGGGCCAATTTATATGCGTTATCGATTATGTAAATTAATAAATCGACCGGGATATCCTTGAAAGAGTGAGAAAGAGCAAATATACGATCCGGCATCCGTCTCGCCCTATAATGGCCCTGAATAGAAGGATATACGTGAAGCATCTTTTTTGGCGTGAATGCGTCTCACCTCCCAGGACCTAAGCAGCGGACTTGATAAACACACCTGCATACATCATACGTGATTCGGGTGTAAATTGCCGTTCAATGGACATAAGTAAGACAGACTGGCAGGTCTATGTATATAAACCATCACCGAACGAATGGCAAGGTTTAGTCGGTCGATCGTTTTAGTCGCAAATGCAGACCTCTCGACGGTGTTCTCTTATAAACGACCAGGAATTATGACACTTTTATGGCGTTACTCCAGGTGAGATACATTTTGCTGCTTCATATCATTATATATATATATATAAATTATAAATTATATATATATATATATATA